CTCTGATCCATACATTTCGCTGCAAACCCAAGTGTAAGATGGGAGAGAAGGTCCATTCTCCCTCTCCTAGCACCTTGGACACATGCTCCCAGTATTACAGGGAGATTATACTGAGACATGCTCTTTGGACTTCTCCCTCACCATGAAGTTCTTCTAAGAGGTCACCTACAGCCATCAGACATCATGACCAATATGACACAAATGGCATTGTCTGCCCATCCAGCCAAGAGACAATCCCCTGAGAGGCCTCTTGCAAAGCTCATCTTCTCCAGAGTACCTGCAAGAAATACTCACCTCATCACCTAAGCCTGCCTTTCCCTCTACTGACAATCCTGGAGGATGATCCTTGGAGTCTGAAGAAGAGGCGGAGGAATTAGAGAACCCGGAAGATGCATGTGGTGCAACAAAGGCTGAAGCCATCCTCTCCCACCTTCCCTGAGGGAAGTGAGACTGCGCCCTCACCAGGGGAGATGGAGATTGAACAGCTCCAGGAGTGGCAGAGACCCTGACAGTCCAGGGTGGGTAGTGAGAGGGAAGTCACACAAGCTCTTTGGGATCGGAGAGCAGGGAAGACTATTCTTCCTGTACACAAATGGCTCTTAAAGCCAGCAAAAGGCCTCTGGCTCAGGCTGGCCTCACTTTCTGCTCTGGCAGGGAGACATGGCCTCCTTTTCTGAACAACACAGCAGAAATAGGGTATTTCATCCGCTGAAGCTAGGCTATGTAGGTTAGCCAGTGAGAAGGCACTGTGTCATCACCTGGGGAGGACAAAACTCTTGTGCAACTCTTCAAGGTTATTTGTAGTATTTGGAGACAAGTGTAAGGGGAAACCAGTTTCTGTTCAGAGAGTGTACTGGAGTCAGTCCTGACCAAGCAGGTGTCCCAGTGCCAAATGGCTTAGAGGCCGTTAAACTAGTTTGCACAGTGTGTCTGAGGGATGTCTCCATCTCTGAACTCTGGGAAGCCACTGCGTTGCGCTCCATTCATAACTTCACACAACATGACTGTCTTGACTTAGGGGCTAAGCATGGTTCTAATTTTACCAGAACAGCCCTTTAACCTTTCTTTAACCAAGGACTCCTCAACCCTCCTCCAAGGGGTTGTTACTGCTAGTCAGTCTCCCAAGCACGGGGATCTGCAGAGGCAATTCTGGGTGAGAAAGAAAATATACTCATCTGTAACTACAGTGTTGCCCCTGCAGATTCACACTCAACCAACCTCCTTCCCGTACACAGCATTCTGAACTGGTGGGAAGACCTGAGAGTGGTCAGATCTACAGTCCTTGCATTACTTCATACCGAGCCTTGAGCTCTACAGGTTGGTGTATGTGTAGAACAATCCATCTCTGCTGTCTGGGCTCATGGCCCTAAGGCATATGCACCCCCAAGGGTGTGGCTCTGCAGAGGCAATGCACACTCAGAACGCCACTCACAGGTGAGTAATCTTACTTTATTATATCTGACCTGGGTCATCCATCATTGTGCGTTTCCATCCCATCGTTGTCACCCATTCTAAGCCTAACAGCAGGGCAAAGCCTTCATCTGCTTTCACCCAAGCCCCTGAAAAGCTGGGCCTGGAACTTTGGCACATGTGCCTACTCGTTGCAGGCCTGTAGGTTGCAAAGTCATGGCAAGACTTAGACAACTCGATCTCCTCACTGACTTTGTCCTAGTCACCCAGCCAGAAGATAACTCTTTTCTCTCTACAGCCCATATGCTTTGTGAAATGTCTGGCTCGTGTGCTGCATATGAAACAGGGGGGCCTGCCCTCTGCCTGAGAGAGACATACCTAGAGCCTTAACTGGGGCCTAGTTAAACAGAACAGATTGCAACTACCCTGGGTGAAGGGGGACTGGAACAATTTGTATAGTGGGGGTGCTGAGAGCCATGGAACCAAACTATAAACCTTGTATGTGATGGAAACCACTTCAAGCCAGGGATTACAGCAGCACCCCCAGCACCCTAGTTCCAGCACCTGTGCCTGGGTGTATAAAGTAGAAAGCTGTGGCCTGAAGAAATACATCACAGCATTCAGTGTTCCACCTTGCGCCTGGCCGCTTGCATCTAGGAGCTTGGCATGCCAGGTCCTGAACACCATGGTCTTCACTTCTGGGTTAAAAGGAGAGCAGTGGTGAGACTGCGTAGAACTGATTTTCCATAGGAGTGAGTGGACTGTTCAAAGACAGCCATTTCTGATGGTACTGTTCAGTCTAGCACAGCAGCGAGGAGGAAGTCTCTCTGAAGATGGGGCAGTTTCTCCGTAAGCACTTTGTCAAGTGTTTAGCAAAGTTTCCTGGAAGAAAAGAGCCAGAATGTACAATCGCGGTCTTCCTTCTCCACCCACTTAGTGTACATGACTCATATAACCTAGTCTTCCTTTCATTCATAGAAACAGGTGAATAAGTTCCATTTTTCCTTTAACATGCAGCTATTTAAGCTGAGAAACAGTGTCTCTAATGGCTAGAGGGAATGGGTTTGGAGCTAGGATCCCCAGGTTCTAGTCCCAGCTCTGATTCACTGTGTGATCTTGGGCAATTTACTTGCCACCTTTATGCCTCAGTTTCCCCCTAAATGGACAGAGCAAAGCAATTAATGACAAAAAAAAAAAGGAAAGAAAGAAAGAAAGTTGTTCATCATGGTGAATTTCAAAGTCACATATGTGAGTATTTGCAGCTGCCAAATTTGAAATTTGCACACCCAGATTTTCCAGTTGGATGTGTTTGCTGGCTCACATCCAGTCAGGGAAGAGAAATTATACCAGGTAGCTTATCTGACCAATCACAACTGAGCATCCGTTAGCTCTGAGAATGGGGACATTCATACTCACCTGACCCTGGGTCTCTTGTGAGTGATGTGACATTAATGTGTAAAGCATTGTGAGATTCACCAAGGGGAAGGTCCTAGAGGAGATCAAAGCATTATTACACATGTCCTCTAAGGCTCATTTTCTGTTCTTGATCAACCAAAAATGAAATTGAAAAACTTCATCAAACCAATTCATCTTTTCTTTATGTTTTGTTTCCTCCAACCCAACCACTACTGTACCTAACCAGACCAGGCCAATCATTGCTCCAAGATGGCCCCCCCAGTTGCCTAGCAACCCTCTAGCTGTTGTGGGAGACCCAAACCAAAACTATCTTTCCCAAATAAACCGAAACTGTAAGTGACTAACTCATGTTGTCATCGTCCTCTGCGATGACGCCATGTGGCCGGTTGTAATCTCGTTGCATGATTTGACGTTGAGTTTTCTATATCTCTATTTCTATATCTTTATTTTTTCTGTATTGGTGCTTTTCTTTTGGCGATTGTGAAGTGCCGTAGTGAAGCCCCTGGTGGATAGTTTTTGGAGTGCTGATTGGTCAGTCTTGATTAGTTGTGAACTTTGACCCCCCCCCCAAACTCCATCTTCTTCTCTGCCCTCTCTTCTTTTCTCTTTGTTGTAACGTAACAATCTGTGTTTGTGTTTCACCTGCATTCACTATATGGCCATAATGACTGGGGAAATGTAATTGTTAAGGAATCACTCTTGGTTCCAATATTATTTCTGAAAAAGGGGGTTTCATTTAATTTCAGTTGAAACAAGAAATGAAGGGTTTTATTTTGTGTTCTTTTCCCTTTTGTTATTTGCAAAATATAGTCTCAAAAACGTTGTAGTGCATGCGAAAAAGCAGTTGGGAATATCCCGAACACTGATCCTTCAGCAGTATGGTTTGCGGATTTTGAGTTGGAACTGAAGTCTTATATTTCTTTTCTGAATATTCCTTCTCATCCCATCCAAGAGGGAATTCAGAGTAGAATAGCAGAAAGTGAGGCTGGAGCAGGAGAGACTGAGTTATGAGGAAAGACTGAGGTGGGATTTACAAAAGAATATACGGTAGTTAGGCTCTCAGGTCCCATTCCCTAACACAGGAGGACTAATAACTCACCTCTGGTTCAGCCAGTGCAGTTCTGTCCTGTTAGGACATCAGATCTCCATGCAGACCCTTTCTCTTTCATAAGAGGAGACAGAACGGCCAGTCTTTGTGATTCCTCAGAGCTAGGAAGCCCATATTCGCAGTGACAAAAAGAGCCAAATGAGATTTCAAAGGAACCTAGGGCAAAATTATCAGCTGATGTAATTGCTTTGACCTCACAGGAGTTATACCACCAGAGAGTTTGGCCTCTAACATTCTCTCACTGCTGAACATTTTGCAGAGACTTTAAATAAGAAGCACCATCTCTTTAAACAATGGACTGGTTATTTTTTGGGGGGTGATGACCCAGCTGAAGGGCACATGTACCTCACTAGTGCTCCTCCATACACTTAACCAGCTAGTGGAACCCTGTGAAATTTAGAGGTGCCCTTGCTTTTTTACGTTTGAGGACTTAGCCTCAAATCTAGCCTCAGTTCCAAGTAGAAATGTGTTTAGTGGATCTAAATGTAGTTTTTAATGGACATTTCTCCAAATTGCAAAACCGCTGTACTATTTAACATAAAAGTAGTCTGGGCTGAAAAGCGCCCAGGCCTGGAATAGCAGGGTCAGCTACAGATCAGGATTGATGTGCACTGGCAGAGTTGGGAGGGAGCCCAGGACTGAAGAAGGTCAGGACTGAGATGCATTCATTGGCAGATCTGTGTGGATAGTCCATGACCTGAAATAGCAGGAGTGCTGCAGGTCAGGTTTGAGGGTCATTGATAGAGCTGTGTGAGGGGAACCCAAGACTGGAATAAGAGTATGTGCATCAGTTGAGGATAGAGGCGCGTTGTCAGAGCTGGGATGGTGGTGGAGCTGCAGGACAGAGTTGAGGTGCCTTGGCAGAGGTGCGTAAAAGAAAGAAACTTGCATAGGCCCTCCCCTCCACGACATGTGACTTTTCAGTGACTATGACCCTTTCTCTGTTTCCCAAGCACTAAAACTCACCCAACATTAAAGCCGTTCTCAGGGGGCTCTCATGCGTTGTACGTTCCAATGGGCCTTGCAAATCCCAGAGCCTTGTAATGTGCCCTTTGTTGTCTTGCAGGTTGGATGCCCTGCAGCGTATGAAGAGTATTCTCCCTTTTCCCAAGTGCAGTATCCAAACTTGTAACTCTCTTTCTTTGCAACATATCATGGAGGAGGTGGAAGCGAAGGAGGAGAAGAAATGCTGGCGAAAAAGAGAGCCATTGTGGTTGTATCTTCTTTTTATTTTTTAAGTTTTGAATCAGTTTTGTTTGTTTCTTAACAAGAAAGAAAAATACACAGTGATGTTGGAGAAAAGACAAACAGGTGCAGATATTTGCTGAATCAGACTATGAAACGGTGGCTGCTGGAGAAGACTTTGAATTCCTCGCAAGGAGAGAGGTGGGATTCTTGGAAGGAAAAACAAACCAATCTAGGATTAAGAGCTAGGACAGCTCATTCATGAGGATGAACCCTACCTTTTTAAAGCACTCATTTGCTGCTACAAGTTTCAAAGGAGGAACTAGGAAAGAGGATCCAAATGGATATAAACCAAAGCCAGTGGGATTGGACCAGGCGTGTATGTTTCACCTGGATAACGTTTTGTTTTAAAAGGGAAAGAGAAATTGATTTTTTCCATATCTGGCTGGAAAAAAAGAAATCAAAGGCTAAGCGCATGTTGGACTTATAGAAGAGATATATAAATACGTTTATATATATATATATATATATATATATATATATAGACAGACACACACACACCATGGAGCAGGGTGGGGGGGATGCGCTCCTCTCCTTGCTTGTCACTGGCACAGGGACATAGGATTTACTTCTTTCAAAGTCATATCATTCCTTAGAGTTTAGGGACCAAAGGACTACTGCTTTTTTAAATATATATATAAATAAATTAATTTAACAAAAAAACAAAGAAAAAAGGTAGAAGTATCACGTAACAGCTGCGAGCGTTTCAAAAAGAAACACAAATAGAGGGAAACTAGAAAGAGCTTTGTTTACCGTGTCGTGTGTTCCAGTGGCCCAGCGACTGCATAGGCTGTAGGAGCCCAAGGGTCCGGATAGCTGGGAAGTTTTTCCAAGGCTGTGGAAAGTGAAATCGTGGCACTTCTGTCATGGCAACTTCTTCTCGCACCCCTGTCCCACCCCAGACAAAAACATAGAAATTAAGATCTTGGCTGGTAAGTAGAGCTGGTCGAAAGATCCAATTTTGCCTCCACCAAGAACATGGAAGAAATCATTCTATTTGAAATTGTTAATGGAAGATTTGGGTTTTACCGAAGGAAAAATTTTAAACAAAGCAAAGATGTTTGTTTCAAAGGGAAATTTTCATTTTGTTTTGAGTTCTTGAGAAATTGAAAATTCCATCCAAATTGGCCTGTTTTCACCACACATTTCAATTTTGATTAAACTCCCTTTGTGACAAAAAACGATTTTGGTTGAGAAATGTTGACCAGCTCTACTGCTGAGACAATTATGAGAAACATGTTGCAACCTTCGCTAGCTCCTGAGATAAATATGATCTCCTCGGCCTCTCCTTTACACTGTGTGTGAGAGGTGAATTGGGGCCATAACATTGTACATCCAAATCCAACTCTGAGTTACACCAGTGCATCCCTTGCTGAGGTCACTGCATTACCTGGGCATAGCCGATCAGAATTTGGTTCGTGGGTTGCAGATATATTAACATACGATACCTGATGCTTCAGCATAAGACCATACCAGACTGTGCCAAATATGTATGTGGAGCACACGTCCCCTCCAGGTGCTTACATGTTTCAAAGGTGAAAACAAAAGATTTTCTTTCCCGCACACCCTTCACCACCTCTGAGATTTCCTATCAGTAGGGCCGATTTGCTCAAGGTCAGATATTTGCATCATGGTATAAATCTTCCCCTCCAGCGGATCTCACTGATCGCTGCATGCGTCCAAAGGTAAGTGCGGGAGGCTGTTATTAACTATAGTGGACCAGACTCTGCACTGATTTATAATCCCAGTGGAGTCAATTCGATTGTATGGGGCATCCATCAGAGCAAAGTTTGGCCCATTGAGTTTAAACAAGGGCTGAATTCATCCCTGAGGTATCATATAATCATAGAAACGTAGGGCTGGAAGGGACCTCAAGACATTATCAAGTCCAGCTCTCCCTCATGAAAGCAACCTTCATGTTTCCCCACTTCCAGGCCCAGAACAAAAAAACCAGCAACTTGGCCATATATAAAAAATAAAACAAGAGAGAGGGCAAACTTCTGAGAGACCAGCAGCCTCTGGGAGAGGTCAGATTTTACGTGTCATGGAGATTTATAGTCATAGCATGAAAATTTGACTGCACTGGAATCAGTAGGTGTTTCGCCATTGACTTCAATGGGATCAGGATTTCACCTGTGGATTGAAAGGCCAGAAGGGAGTGCATAACTCAGTGATTCCTGCATCGAGCACAATAATTTTGCAGAATGGTAGAAGCAGTTATCCCCTGCCATCCATAAATACATATATACCAGTGGGCTCTCAATCACTCTTGTCTCACCCGCCCCTTTACTTCTTTTCTTTGATGTTCTCCAGGGTGGCTGAAGCTTTGCTACCCTCCTCGCTACCATTAGAAAGGCCTTGCCTTCAAGTCTGAGAGGATATGCAGTCATGGCCCTTTAAAACTCCCCCTGTCCTGCAGGGAGGGAGTGTCCTTTTTGACAGGAACTCATTGTTATTCAATGGAATTCACCCTGCAGAGGAGAAACCCCCAGCTAGGACAGATGGGATCTTAAAGGGGCCAGACTATATATCCTGTGGGATCTTAAAGGAGCAGGCCTGTTGCTCTTTGTTTTTAATTTCTTCACACATCTGCCACTTCTCTTCTCTTAGTTTCTGTCACAACTCATGTTTCCCACCGGGCACCAGGCTGTGCTTTCCCCAGTGCCTGAACCTGCCACCTTGCGAGCAGTTGGAAAGAATCAGCGTTAAGCTTACAAATATAGAGGGGAGTGATTCAGGATCTAAAACCATGCCCTGAATTGTGCTCCAGAGTCAACTCATGGGAGAGGAGGGCATTTCTGAAGCCTCAAAATGAGCACCTTCCTCAGCTGTCTCCATCCCTGACTCCACAATGCTTTCACACTCACAGTAGCTATAAGCGTGCCAATGCATGGACCACCTTCTGTTCCCTGCGAGCATTACCCAGGAGCGTTACCTAGAAGAGTGTTCCTCGACATGCAGTATTCCATCCATTGTCATTACCTGTAGGGCTTGGGCTTATAAGGAACTCTTTGATCCAGATCCATGTAACCAACTGAAATGCCACAGGATCCATTATGCACCAGCCAAATGTTCACAGACCTGCTCACTTTATACTACCAGTGCATTTACTTGAATTCACTGCTGCTCTCCTGGGCTAGATTTATGGTTTAAGTAGGTGTTAATTATCATGCTGTGTATGGGAGATCCTGCTGTCTTTGACCTGTTTAGAACTAAATTAGACTCTATTTCAAAATAAGATTGTTTGCAGCTAGGCAGGAAGGAAGAGGGGTGTAAGGAATGGTGCTGTGCACGCACTGCATGGTTAGAGCAGAGGACTGGGAGTCGGAACTCATGGCCTTTATTCCTGACATTGCTGCAGATTCATTGGATGGGTTAAAAGCTCTGTTTAAAGTCACTGTCCTCACTCTGCCTCAGTTTTAAAATGGGAATAATAATAGTTCCCTAACTCACAAGACACATTGTGAGGCACGTTTAATTGATGTTTGCAAAGGGCTTTGAGATCTTTGCATGCAATGCACTGTAGAAGTGAAAAATATTATTTTTATATAGTGGTCAGATACTGCATTACTGGCCCTAGAGTACATCACTCAAAGCCTTTCAAGAAAACCAGAATCATGAACTTGGACGAAAGACCCTTCTACTCCAACAGTACTAAACTAAACCTATTCTATTGGAGCAGGATCCATCCATCCATCCCATTGCAGCTTTGCCACTGACTTCAACAGGCTCCTACCGTAGGCTGCCCCCAGCCTCAGCCTGCTGTTTGCCCCACTCAATGTACAAAGAAAAGAAGTAGCTGCCACCTGGAACCAGGTACGGCTCTCACAGTGCTACTGGGGGTAGAAAGAAGCCCATACTGTTGAGCATTCAGATGAGAATGGAGCTGGTTGACCAAATGTTTGTGGAAGCACTCTAACCAAAGAGCTTCTAATGCAGGTATGCAGAACCAGGCCACTCACAAAACCTAGCTGTTGTTTAGTGCCAAATGCCATGCTACTGAGGGTAAATGCGGTCAGAAATTCTGTATTTCTAAGACTAGGGGTTGTCTCCAAACCCTCCTTGGTTTTTTGCATCTCTCGGGTCATCTCCTGTCTTACAGTCCCAGACTCTGGGAGTCATATTTGATGCACAGCATTGATGAACATACACCAACATACTCCACAGCACTCGCACCTTCTTTAGCCTCTCTGGTGCCTGCAGATACCCCATAAGGGAGGTGGGCTCTGTGTCTCCTGAGCAATATTAACCAAGGGCCAGATCCTGCTCTCAGCTGCACTGGTGTAACTTCACCCACATTTGTCCTTCAGTATCTAGTGACCTGTCATTTTACAACATGACTTTTGTGGGTACTGGTTGGCCATGAATGGGTTGCCCAAAGCCACAAGGGGAGGAGAGGAGGTCCGAGATGGAATTTAGGAAATGTCCAGCCAAACAGACTAGATGTGTTTAGTTGCCCTTCACAGCTCACACGCCTTGGTTTGGTCGCTTGGCCACTGGACTCCTTTTTCTGTGATTCATTGTTACATTTCCTAGTGGTTTAGAACAGAATGCTTTTGTAGAACGTTAGCATTTAACGTAGGATAACTCTCCATTTGAAAACAAAAAAAAAGACAATCGACTTTAGTGATCATGTGAAAGTGACTTTTTTTAAAAAAAAAATGAAACAAAGCAAAAAAAAAAAACAACCATACAACAGAGGGGCTTCAATCAGCAAGTGATACTCATAATACAAGTGAACAATGTGTTCCAGGCTCTACTTCAAACAGCAGACCACTGCAGTGAACATGGGGCCTGTTAGGCATGATAGCCCTGTTCCAGCCGCCTCCAGGAAAGTTAATGAGTGGCTCAGTCCTTGTTTCCAGATGAGTGACCTGAGAAATTCAGTGACCTGCTCCCCGCTGCCTAGTATCAAAGGGTGGTATTTGAGTGCCCCGTCAATCTTTAGCTCATTCATGCCTCTTTCTGAAAGGCTGAGATTTTGATGGCTTAGCTCCAGGTACAACCTACATAAAGAAACTGCATTGCCCAGGGAAGTTACAGGCCTAAGTTTTAGAAGGTAATTTATGATCTATAATCACCTAACAAAAAGAACGTCTTACACCAAGAACCAAGGTACAGTTGGCAGGAGGTCTTATTTATTCTTAATTGTGTTTCCTCTTAATGGTGAAGGGCAGTTGAGAACCTCAACTCATGCAAGAAATGCACTCACTAGAAAGAGGTTCTGATTAGCCTTCACTTTGCAACCTGTGTTGTCATTTACACCTGTTCAAAGTGAGTGTAGGATGCTACCAGATCAGAACTGGTGCATCTTATATCCACTTGGTAGCAGTGCAAATGGCAACAAATGATGAAGGACAACAGAGAATTAGGCCCAGAGTCTTCTGACCCAACCATTAACTTAAACTGCCGAATTTTTGTGGCATAGAATCATAGAATCATAGAATATCAGAGTTGGAAGGGACCTCAAGAGGTCATCTAGTCCAACCCCCTGCTCAAAGCAGGACCAATTCCCAGCTAAATCATCCCAGCCAGGGCTTTGTCAAGCCGGGCCTTAAAAACCTCCAAGGAAGGAGACTCCACCACCTCCCTAGGTAACGCATTCCAGTGTTTCACCACCCTCCTAGTGAAACAGTTTTTCCTGATATCCAACCTGGACTTCCCCCACCACAACTTGAATAAAAAAATACAACCCTGTACAAAAATCAAATGTGCTCAGACTCAATGGCACATTTCACCCGGTA